TATCGAGGAATGTAGGCCAGTGATGATGACCTTTTTCGACGGAATTTGTGGCTAGCGTCGCTGCAGTTGTGGCTGCTGTATCACAATTTTTTCTAAAAATATCCGCAGAAGACGTCATCGTCGACGCGATAGCCGTCGCGCCAGTTGAAAGCGTCGTCAGAAAAAGCAACAAATCGTCGTCATCGCTATTGCTAAACTTGTTGCTGGCAGCGGCTGAAGCAGCAGCAGCAGTAGATGATGATGAAGGAAAAACATGTGAATTGGACCTGATCTTCGAACCAGTGTTCCTAAAATTACTAAGCGTGAAATTACTTGCGGGTGTAGTAGTAGTAGTAGTAGTAGTAGTAGTGCTTGAAATAGTAGTACTAGTATTATTACCATCACTGAAACTATTCGTACAGTTACTGTTGGCAGTTGTGGTGGTGGTGGTAGTAGTAGTAGTAGTAGTAGTAGTAGTAGTAGTAGTAGTAGTAGTAGTAGTAATGGTGGAATCATTTTTAAAAGTTTTAACGAAATATGAAGAAGACTTGGCATGAGATTCGCTGTCCGAGTCGTTAGATATCTCATCAATGCAATTCATAATGTGAGTGGCCGTCAGGGAGGACGTGGAAGTCGCCGCTAGCGACGCCGTCGACATTATTTTAAACAACAGTGACGACGTTGTTGTCGTTGCCGTGGTTGTTGTTGCCGCTGCCGCTATGGTCGTTGCTACAAGCAAAGAGCTATAAGTGTTAACGAGCAACGGTGGAAGTACTTCAGTAGGCGAGTGTAGCGCCTGGTGGCTTCTACTGCTACTACTACTGCCAACGACGACGTTTTGTTTCAGGGTTGTAGGTAGTGTGGAATCTAGGTTCTTCATCGACAGGATTATGCTCTCTGCCACGTTCTTACTTTTCTAATTAGTGTTTGGTGGGTAAGTGAATGGCTAGGCTTTAAAAGGTTTTTTGTGTTTTATTATCACTACTACTACTACTAATATAACCGCTACTGCGATTACTACTACTACTACTGCTACTACTACTGCTACTACTACTACGACTACTACTAGTACTACTACTACTGCTACTACTACTGCTACTACTACTACGACTACTACTAGTACTACTACTACTACTACTACTACAACAATATAAACAACCACAACAACGAGACAAGAACAACAGCGAAGCAAACTTACTTTATGATTATCATTATAGTGATTGAAGTGTTGTTGTTTCAGCTGCAGATGATGGCTGTGGTGGTGTGGTTGATGCTGATGATGATATGAATGCTGTTGTAGCTGCTGCTGCTGAAGTTGATGCAGATGGCTGCTGTGTTTGTGGTGCTTGAGGCGAGGTGACGACGAAGACGACAGTGACGTCACGTGATAGATTTTATTCTTAGGATCTATGTGACCTATGTGATGGTAGTGTTGAAATAATTTTGCCACATTGCTTTCAACCGACTACCATCATCATAACAATCATCATCATCGTCGTCGTCATCATCATCATCATCACTATCATCATCATCAGCAGCAGCAGCAGCAGCCGCAATAGCAGCACACACCTGTATGATGAACTTTTAAACTGGCTACCTGAGCATAATTTTGACCAGCGGTCACCAAAGAGACGATTGGCTGCTGGGCATTGTTTGTAGGTTGTTGCTGTTGTTGTTGGTGGTGGTGGTCATTTTGAGATCTGATAATGATGACGGTAATGGTGGTGATGATAGATAGTGAGTGAAGATTGTGATGATGAAAGTGAGTAGAGATGACGATGATGACTGTGCCGAACGGAGATGTTGATGAATATTACACGTAAAGATGGTAATTGAGATAACGATGATGATATGGTGAGGAGTTGAGATGATAACATAAGGTAAATATGGTTGTGAGAAACGAATGATAACAACCACAAACAAATGACAAATCAACCAGCCAACCAACCAAACAACCAACCAATCAACCAGCCAAACAGACAAACTTTACCTAACTGATAATGAGAAAGACTTATTATGTAGATTGTTAGTACTGGTTGAATGCTGTGGCTTAGGGTTGTTGCAATGAACACCCAGCTTATCTACAATGTGCTAAAATCAATAAATCAATCAATCAATCAGCCAGTCAATTAAAAATTAAATAAACAATTGATCATTATAAACATAAAATTTTAAAAAATAAGCAAAAAAACTAAACATACAAACAAACAAACAAACAAACATACTTACATACAAACAAACAAACAAACATAAACCAAAACAGACAAAGAAACCAACAAAAAGTAAAAATAAAATAGCAAGAGTAACAGGAATATCTCACAATATCCTCAGAGTTTGGTTTAACCTTATTCCTCATGCCGTCATCCTAAATAGCACAGACCAAAAAGATAATTAAATTTAAAATTAATTTAAAATTAACTAAAAATTAAATTAAAATTAATGTAAAATCGAATCATAACTCAATATGGAATGAACTAAATAACACAAAAATAAACAAATTATCTAATCAATTAATTAATTAATTGGTTAACTAAAAACGAATTAAAATTAGATTAAAAGCATAAACCACAAGGCAACTGAACGTTTTAAAATAAAACAACACTAGTTTAGACAGCATACAACAACAACATGCACACATGCACGCACGAAAACACACGCACGCACGCACACGCACGCGTACAAACACACACACACACACACACACAAAACAAACACACACACAGAACAAACAACGCATTTGACAACAACAGACATACCTCATAACACAAAAAACCAACAACACCAACATAACCATCCAACAAATATAACAACAGCAACACCCACAACAACAATACAAACATCCCCCCCTACAACGACCCTCAAAACAACAACACCAACGGACCTTACTGTGTTGATTACACATATTATGATGCGAAAGATTGCTAGGTGTGGGCGAGGGGCACGAACTACTGGGCAACGAGGTCGTGTCAGAGAGGTTAAGATTCACAGACGAAATGTCATCATCCCCAAGAACTAAATTTTCTACCTGGGTTTTTCCCAGAGACGCGCTTAACTCATCGAGGTTGAGTTCCTCGTAAATGAATTCGTTTTCATTGAAAAGGGGCTCACCATTCGACGATATGTAATAGTCGACTTCCTCTTTGATTTTTAGAATCTTTTTTTGGGGGGGTAGAACAATTGTCACGTGATTACAAAATTTTCAGAAATGTGAAGAGAGAACACGTTTATATTTTATAAACGCCTACTTGGTCGACGGCCAGAGCGTCGTTATCGAGTAATCGCATGATCAACTCCAGTCTGCCTATGTGTTGCTTGTGTTTCTCCAGACCAGACTTCAAGGTATCTATTTGGTCCTGTTTCTGTCAACCAATTGAGTGGTCAATCAGCCAATCATTCAACCAACCAATCAATCATCCAATCAATCCATGAGTCAGTCAATCAGCCAGCCAAAAATCAACCAACCAATCAATCAATCAGCAAACCAATCAAACAGTCAACCGACGTATCAATCAATTAGTCAACCAACCAACAAGTCAATCAATCAGTCGACCAACCAATCAATAAATCAGTCAACATTCAATCAATCAACCAACTAATTTATTGAAAGATGAATTAAAATTATAATGATAGAAAGTTGATGATGCACTTAGCCTAGCTTCAAGATACATATTGAAAAAAAGTATACATCATCCAACAACAATGACAATAATAATAATAACAATAATAATAATAATAATAAATATAATCTTCAAACATCTTTATCGTTTTTCTTCTTTTTGGCTGAAATACTTTCAATCTTACACTCGCACTGGTCCACACGAACATTGAGAGAGTCTATGCACTGCTGTTTAGGTCATTAATTAATTAATTAATTGACTAATTAATCAATTAACTAATTAATTAATTGATTGACCAACCAATCAATCATCTAATTAATCTACCACCTGGTCAGTCAATCGGTCAGTCAACCAATCGGCCAGCCAATCAATCAAACAAACAAACAATCAACCAATTTACATATGTAATAATAATGATAACAATAACTGCTACAATAGTGAAAACACTACTACCACTACTGCTACTACTACTACCACTACTACTACTACCACTACTACTACTACTAGAGAGAGAGAGAGAAACAAAAAAAAAGGACAAACCAACCGACAACCAATTAACAACGTCCTCCTTCTCCTTCTCTTTCGGATCTACTTTGACCTGCAACCCTAGCCCCTCTTTGGAGAAAGCTTTCGTCTTTGTCTCTCTCTCAACCACTTTGAATCTTTCCATTTGCTGAATGCAGTGTGCGTATTTATGTGTGTGCGCGTGTGTGCATTCTTGTGTGTGTGCGCGTGCGTGTGTGCGCGCACTTGTAAAAAGATAATGAATGAAGATGATAATGACTTGAAAATGGCTTTGTGATTCTTAGATGTCAGTTGAAAAAGATCTGAACTGCCATATTTTGTAAATTAACTCTCAGTAGAAACGGACATTTGTGAGAATTACAATGAATACAATCAAAAATATGTGATCACACGTGTGTACAACATAGCATTCAAAATATATTATTATTGCATGAACATAAAAAAGACAAACACACATACACAAACACACACACAGAAATATAGTTTGCTAACAGTTTCAATAAGTTTCTTGTACTCCAACAAATTTTTTTTCTCTTTCACTTCCGGAGTTGTCAGCCATGTTTTTATACCATCTCTCAATCGCTGACCAAAAATGAGTATATATATATATATGTATGTATGCTTTTATGCATGCATGTATGCAAGTGATAATAATTCATAAAACAAACACTTTTTTAAACAGAATCTATTTCTTTCCTGACATGTTTTCGTTGTAAACTTAACACCTTATCATTATATTTTAGTTTAGAAAAAAAATTTTTTTTAATTTAATCTATAAATATATGTTTTATTGTGAACATATTGCTTTAATATAAAACTTATACTAACACTTTACACTGGCAATAGTAATTTATTACTAATATAAATTACAAAAATACCAGCACATACTGCACTGCTAGCAAGTCAATATTAATCTAAGAAATAATATTAGATTAATTACTAATTGGTATAATTACTAATTAATCTCTAGATTAATCTAGTTTACAAAAATCTTAAAATTAGTACAGATGTAAGGTAAAGACACTATATGTAGATAAAAACCTGTAGCTTCTTTATCTCTTTCTTCAAATCTGCCTCATGCTTCTCTTTAATGTTAACATTTGTGGTGCTATATATCTTAGATTAAAAATTTTAATGATTGAAAAATTGCAAAATTTTAAAAAATTATTTTAATTTTAAAAATGATGAACCACAAGACAAAAACTTTGCTACCTGTTATAATTTAATAAACGTAATTTAATTGATTTAATTAATTAATATTTGATATACTCATATATAAATATTATATATTAATTTAAATTAAAAAACATTATAGAAAGAACCTTTTGCCACAAATCTTCAAAAATATCCACACCTTCTGTCACTTTCTTCAAACATCTATCTATTTCACCTTTTTAAAAGGGAGCAGTGAAGTCAAAAGTAATAAAGCTGTATTATTAAATGGTCTAGACTAGACTCTAGCCTAAACCAAATAATAATACAACTTTATTACTTTCTAGACTGTAGAGGTTAATCAATCAAGCAGGCAAGCAATCAAAACAATGGTCAATGACAACATTTTTTCAAAATTTCAAAAGATCAGTGACTAACAATTACCTGACAACATTATGATTATATAACTAACTACTAACACAGACCTAACCAAAACAACTGACAGCCAATTGTAAATTGCCTGATTTCTGAATAACACTACATAACAACAGCACAATTATAAAAACAAATAATAGATATAATTAATGAAAAAAATTCTGCCCACAATGAATCCCAGACCAGAGAGGTAGGCAGTGCAGCAGTGCAACAAATTCAATTCAATTCATCCCAAAATTCATAAAAATAATTACAAAACAATCACAATAACAGTGAAAGACATGTCAATCACAGACGTCAGAGCATATTTACCTACCTTGCAACTTTCTTTTGTCCGCCATTTTTTCGTATGTGCCCAATATACGAATTTCAGCATCGTTAGAAACGGTAAACAGGCGAGCGATATTTATATGTAAAATATCGTAACATGGCGAGTTTCTATCAAAAATTCTTTCAAGATGTCCGGGTCCAGTTAAACACATTCGCCTATGCAAACATACGAATCAAAACTTTCCTAATTCGGCTAACTTTTATACGAAAATCAAACCTCCGTTTAGGCGCTGTTTGATAGAAAATTGAAATAAATGGATGCAGAACAAATTTTTTTTATTCAATTTTTTTTAGTGATGTGACAAGGCTTTATAATCTTTAAATACAGTTTGAAAATTTTAACAATTTTATTTCGACAAAATTAGCTATACAATCGTCAAAGTTAAAATAAAAAAATAGCACTATAATAATACAATATGCACAAAATACCAAGAGCACAACTTGTAGCAATTGAATTTGTAGCAAAACTTTTTAAGAAATAAGAAATTTAGAAAAATTTTTAATCAGAAATAGTCTTCAGTATCTTCGACAGTTTGTGGTATGAATGCTCCAGCCACATAACGCTTCTCTGCATTCAAAAAGTTAAAAACTGAGAGTGCCTGGTCCTGGGAAATTATTTAACAAATTATTATTAATTTTAGAAAATAAAATTATAACAGTTATATTATTATAATTATTATAATAAACTAATATATCTATATACATATACATGATTAACCATCAAATATAGAACAATCAAATAATGAAACAAAAAAGTCAACAAAATGCTGTCCGTACATCAGAATTAGCAATGAATAACACTGAATGAATATTGATGTTTAAATGTTACTAAAAAAACCTATTATATAACAAACAAGACTAATATGATGGATTAAAACTATAAATCAATGCTAAAAGAGAGCTTATAACACAACAACAACAAAATTAAAAATGGATTAAAATTGAAATTTACAAAAAATGAAAAACATAGTACAGTGGGCAGTAGTTCTACATTGATCTTCTTGCTTCTCATGTACTGGAGGATCTTGAAATCAACTTTTTTAACATTCTCATGGTTCCCAACACCAAGCACTAAAATGTCTTTTGGAAAAAAATAATTAGAAAAAAAACCATTTAAACACAAATCAACACTTTTTTAATCAAAAACAAATTAATCAAAGATATCAGAGATAACTTTATTTAAACAGAATAAGTAGGAACTAAATAGTTTTCCACATTCAAAAAACAAAACCCAGTACCTATTTTTGGATCTAACAATGTGAACAAATGTAATGAATCTTCATTGATGTCCTGAAGTCCGCCTACCTGATTGATGTGAAAACAATGCAAAATTATTATTGTAATAAATATATATTTTATATTATGTTTATTATTACTATTATTATAGTCATAATATATAACAATAACTTTTCAAAAAAACATACGATCATTGGGTCATAATTTTATAAAATAAGCAATAAAAACTGTTGATTGGAATTAAATTTTGAAAAAAAATCAAGAAATACTAAAAAATACTAATAGAAAATAAATTAGCGATTCAGTTTACTTTACATTCCAATGCAGAAGAGACCTTGGAAACAGGACACAGGGACCTACCACTTGAATGCCAGACAATAATTTAAAACCAAAAGAATTGTAAGAATCTATGAAAATACCACCCTCCTGATCGTGATTTAGGATTGTCACTGTCGTCTTGTACTGGCCACCCATGTCACCGTCGTCATCCAAATTCAACTTTCTTACTGGTATTACTGTTCTAGTAATCAATTAATCATCCAATTATATTAGATAAAAATATATGTTGATAATTAATCTAATAAAAATTAGTTTTTAATTAATTTTCACACTTGATCAATTAAATTTAATCTAAAAATCAATGAAAAAAACTGAAACTAGCTTGAAAAACAATTTCTTTCAATTTAATTTATTAATTAAATTATTAAATTAAATTAAAATTTTTTTTAAAAATTTCAATTGTGAAACGAACTTGTTGTATAGCGATATTTGATTATTCAGCAGATTTTTCGCAAATTTGCCAATCATGGAAACCATTTTTTTTTAAGTTTAAACAAAATTTAACAAAGTTTTGACTTTTTGAGAACTAAATTACCAGAAATTTCATAAAACTTATTTATTATCGTTCAAAATTTACCAAAGACAAAACAAAAAATTAATTAAAAGCAGACGATTTAATCAATAATGTGTGAGCAATATCTTTTCAAGTCTTTTATTTAATTAATAAATAAAAAATTTTTAATTTAATAAAACGTTTATTTTATTTCATTAAATTATAAAATTACAAAATTTTCAAACTTTATTGTAAACAAAAAATTAATTACGACAAGGTTGCAAGTTGTGTGAAGATCGCGATTCCAATTTCGGTAATTAATTTGTTTATTTAATTTAATTGTTTTAAAATCATATTTCCGTCATTTTTTCATGTTTTAGATAATTAAATTTTTACGATTTTGCTTTATTTTTTAATTTTTTTTAAACTTTTTTTCAACGCAATTTTTCAAAAATTATTTAAAATGTAAAATTCATAAAAATTATACTTTAAAATTAAATCTTAAATGTAATATAATATTTTAAAACAATTAAAAATAATTTTTTCATGTCTGCATTCATCAGTTATTGTAATTTAATTAATTAAATAATTAAATAATTGAATAATAATTATAAAATTTCATAATATTTTTTATTGGTAGACAATGTTAAAAGTCTTGGGACTTGGGTCTTTCAAGACCTGTCTTGCCAACAATGCAAAAATGTCGTCTGCTCTTTTTAATGTACATCCTTCTACTAACCAATGCCTAAATACATCAAGGTTTTTCTCTGATTCTTTTATTTATTGAATTTTAAATTAAAATTGAATCTTATTAATTATACATAAGTATTTTTTGTTATCTTTTCGTAAGAGATAGAAATTTTGTAATATCCCTTTACTTAAACAACATACCACCACTTATTTGCACTGATCACAGCACATTACTAATTATAAAATTAGGACTCTCCAATCATCTTCAGTCCCCACTGATCCACCATCTCAGAGGAATGAGAGAAAGCCGTATTCTCCATTCCAGGTCAAACTATCGGCCCCAAATGCAGCTGATTATGTTCTTGCTCGACTTGATGATATCATTAATTGGGGCAGAAAGGTGAGGTTTTACCTGTTTGTTTTTTGTTCTTTGTCTTTTTTTTTAATTTTAATTAACTGTATTTGTGTTAGTTTTTAAAATTTTATATCTTAAAATTAAATTTTTTAAATTTTGTCACCAGAGCTCTTTATGGCCCATGACATTTGGTTTGGCATGCTGTGCCATTGAGATGATGCACTTTGCTGCTCCCAGATACGATATGGATAGGTTTGTCTGTTTGCTTCTTTGTGTATGTATGTGTATGTATTTATAGGTGTATGTCTGTGTATGTTTGTGTGTATGAGTGTAGTGTACATGGGCATACATAAAAGTGTGTATATATATACCATATATATAATATAATATATAATAGACCATAATTTTTACAATATTCTTATTCGGTCGAATTTATAGAGTATTGTAAAAATATATGTATAAGTTTATGTACATATGTTTAAGTGTATTTATTTTGTGTACGTGTATGTGTAGGTATGTGTGTGTTGATAGGTATGTGTATGTGTGTGCATGGACCTATGTTACAACAATAATTAACAATAATGCTGTTATTAATTATAATGATTTGTTAAACTAACTAATCATCCTAACAAGGTTTGGTGTGGTCTTTAGAGCTAGTCCCAGACAGGCTGACTGCATGATAGTAGCCGGCACTGTTACTAACAAGATGGCTCCAGCTCTGAGGAAGGTTGATTGATTGGTTGATTGATTGTTTGGCTGATTGATTGGTTGGTTGTTTGGCTGGTTGGTTGGTTGTTTGGCTGATTGTCTGGTTGATTACTTGGTTGACTGAATTATATTCTGATTGGTTAATGAATGGCTGGTTGATTGATTAGTTATTTCTTTGGTTATTCACCTAGTAAATTCATTAGCTATGCAACCAACCAATCAACCTATCAGCCAACAATCAACCAACCAACCATTCAACTAACCAACCAGCCAATGAATGAATGAATGATTGGCAGATATACGACCAGATGCCCGATCCACGCTGGGTCATCTCCATGGGGAGCTGTGCAAACGGTGGCGGATACTACCACTACTCCTACTCCGTCGTCAGGGGCTGTGATCGACTTATACCGGTTGACATCTACGTACCCGGTATGTCGGTATCATTCATTATGATGGAGTAATGGCTAAGACGCATGGTTCTGCAGTTGCAGTGTCCGGGTTCAAATGCGAACAGATCCTCATCTTGTATTTATTTTATTATAATAAATTATGATAATTTATTTCAGGGTGCCCGCCGACGGCCGAAGCCCTACTCTACGGCGTCCTTCAACTTCAGAAGAAGATTAAACGCATGAAAACGACACAGATTTGGTACAGAAAGTAGAGAAAAAAAATTGTTGAAAAAGTGAAAGCGAAACTAAAATTTAAAACTGAAACTTATGGAATTTCGGCGATTTGAATGACGTCCGAAGAAATGATCAATATTGCAACTTGTAACTTTTTAGCTATTTACAACTGTAATATCAGAGGGGCTTGAAACAAAAATATAAATTTGCCAATTCAGCTAGGATGAATAAAATATTTAATACATTTTTTGTTTCCTCTGTTGCTTTTTCTTCCATTTTTTCCTCAATTAAAACCAAAAAATCGACACCCCGTGTGTAAGAAGTGTACGAATCATTGTTTCACGCACACACAGACACGTACACATACACTTTGTATACAGAGCTAGTAACAAAATTTGTCCCACCAGTCCAATCAAATTTTACTAAGAAGACGACGTCACATAATTTGTTTTTATATAATTTAAATTGATAAATATCAAATAATCATCCATATTTTTTAGTATTGTTCAAACAAAAAAAATTATTTTAATTAAATAAAATTTCTAAGGCATATGAGTCTCGATAGGGTTATCTTGTCTCTACATACAGGACACTCCATCTGAAAATAAATTGATTGATTGATTGGTTGACTGTTTGATTGATTGATTGATTGATTAAATGATTGATTGACTGGTTGGTTGATGGATTGATTAACTAATTAGTGATTAATTGATTGATTAATTGACTAAACAAATAATCGATTATTCCTAAAAAAAATTGTAAATCAAATAAAAAAATGACAATAATACGATACTAAAACAAATTTTTCAAAGGTAGATGGTTAAGTTTAACGCAAGTTAAATAGAGTTACATTTCGAGGTTTTCGTCAACACTCGACAGCCAGGTTCGAACGCTGTCTCCACCAATATAATATTATATAACATAATGTAATTTAACATAATATTTGTAATAATAATGAGACGAGCTTTCGAGTTGGACCAGCTGTTGATGCAGTCCCAGCAGAACAAATGGCCGCATACTGTTAGAGTTGGTTGGTGCAATACATCAGAACATAAAGAACATTCATGTGAGAGTACTGATGGTGATGCCGGTGGTGGTGGTGTTGATGATGATGATGACACAGTAGTTGCCGATGTTGATGATGATGTTGTAGATGATGATGTTGATGTTGATGATGATGATGGTGGTGATGACGAAAATGAAGAAGAAGAATATGTTGTTGTTGTCGATGATGATGTTGATGATGATGCTGTTGACGATGGTGTTGTTGATGATGATGATGACGATGATGAAAATAATGATGTTGATGATGATGTTGATGATGATGCTGTTGACGATGGTGTTGTTGATGATGACGATGATGAAAATAATGATGTTGATGATGATGTTGATGATGATGATGAAAATGATGATGTTGATGATGATGTTGATGATGATGATGAAAATGATGATGTTGATGATGATGTTGATGATGATGATGAAAATGATGATGTTGATGATGATGTTGATGATGATGATGAAAATGATGATGTTGATGATGATGATGATGGCGACGACAAAGCTACTATGGTCATTTCAGTTGAAGATGATGATGATGGAGGCAAAACTGTTGACGATGATGACGACGATGATGATGTGGCTACTACTACTACTGCTGCCGCTGATGGTAATGATGATGATGATGAAACAGAAGACGATGATGATGAAGGTGATGATGATATCGTAACTTCATCTGAGGCCCTAAGACAAATTAAAAAAAATAAAAACATTAACTCCATTATAAATCACGACCATAATAAATTGAAAGCCTAATTGAAAACCTAATTAATCACCTCAAACTAAAGCATGTAGTGACGGAATGGGATGAACATGACAGGACATCACGTGGTTTACCTCCACCATCAACATCATCATCACCATCACCATCGTCGTTATCGTGATTCTTGTTGCAGTAGTAGTGGTAGTAGTAGTTGTTGTATAATTTGTAAAGGTATTGGCAGGCAGTCAATGAAATTTGTGTCATTATAGCATAACCTTCATGTCATTGTTAAAAAAATATAATAATAATTATTAGTAATTATATATTTTTTAAATAATATAATATATTCATTATTATTATTATTGTTGTTGTTGTTAGTAGTAGTAGTAGTATTCAATTTTTATACACGTTCAAATAAATATACACAAACACACAGTGAACGAATTAATGAATGAATGAACGAATGAATGAATCAATCAATCAATTAACTAATTAATTAACAAATGAATGAACAAACGAACGAACAAACAAATGAAACAGAAAGATTGAGTAATTCACTCACCCAATAGTTTATATGCTTTCATGTAACCTGAGCTAGCAACTGGCCTGACTTGAATCTAAATCAAAATTATTATCATAACCATCATCTTCATCACCATCATTCATTCATTCATTCATTCATTCATTCATTCATTCATTCATTCATTCATTCATTCATTCATTCATTCATTCATTCAAACCTTCATTCATTCATTCATTTATTCATTCATCTATTCATTCACTCATTGGATTGAATTGAAAACAAAACAAAAAAACAAAACAAAAATACTACATAAGAATTGAAGAAGAAAGCCAAAACAGAGCAAAGATAGATAAACATACGTATCTAACTCCTAGAAACCTCTTCGAGATATCATGATACAAGCCACTCATATAAAACAGGCCCAGATTCAGTTTCTGAAAAAACTCAAATACAAATTGAAAAGACGACGTCATAGAGGTTATTTGTCCTTTGCTGTTCGCTGATAGTTCTTTGCTATTTTTTACCATTTTCTCTATCATCGTTAATGTTTTTTTCAGTATGTAAGGTGATAGTATTTGAAGAATTATCATTATTATTCTTTTCTGCGGGAATAAATGAATGAATGAATGAATGAATGAATGGTTAAATGAATGATCAAATGAATAATTGAATGAATGAATGAATGTATGAATGGATTGGTAATATCAAAGAATAAACGATTAAGTCTATGAATTCATCATTAAGCATTAATTAAATAATACATGAACGAATGAATGAACTAATGAATAGATAAATGAATGCATGCATTCATGAATGAATAAATGAATAAAGGAAGAAATGAATGAATAATTCACTCAACTAAAATATTAGAGATAATTACCTTCATGCAGTTATAAAATTACTAAATTAATCAAAAAGGCAACAGTAACAAAAACAACAACAAGTAAGAATAACAACAACAAGTAAGAATAACAACAACAACAATAATAATAATAATAAAATAATAAATAAATAAATAATATTAAAAGCAAACAAACCAGCAAAGATGGGAGACTCCTCTTATCATCATTCACTAACAATACATTGACGTACTCCTCGCCTAGGGTCTGGAAGCCTTTTTAAAGGAAGAAAAAGAAGAAATTTAATATAAAATAATAATAATAATTATAATAATTATAAAATAACAAAAAAATGATAATCACAATCATCGTCGTCATCGTCATTATCATTATCGTCATCATTCTCATCGTTGTCATCATCATTATCGTCATCGTCCTCATCATCATCGTTGCTGTCACCAATATCAGGACAGTTTTCATCATCATCAATCACCATCATCATCATTAATGATAAATAAAAATGACATCTTGTTTAATAGGCCTTTAATGAAAGCCTAAAGAAAAGAGAGAGACTAAGAGAGAGAGAGAGACAAAAAGAGGAAAAAAAACCATTTTTTCAAAAGTATTTTTATCGTCATAATTATTATCGTTATTATTATCATCATCATCATCATTATCGTCATCATCTCATTATTATTATTATTATTATCATTATTATTATTATTATCATCAGTATCGTCATCATCATCATCATCATCCTCATCATCATCGTCGTCGTCATCCTCCTCCTCATTACCGGATACAGTTGTGATGATAAAGTACATCAGATCTGATGAAACTTCCACCTCCTTCATGTACGCCATCCAACTTTTTAAGCCTAGCATTAATAATATTCAGTTATTTTCATAAATATTAATTTGTTAATAAGAATATTAATTTATTATTATTATTAGTAGTAATTGTTGTATTTAAAGTATTGATAGTATTAGTTATAGCAGCAGTAGCAGTAGAAGCTATAGGAGTAAAAGTAGTAGATTTTATGCAATGTTAATTAATAATAATTAAATAACCAAAGATACATAAATAAACAAGTAAATAAATAAAAGAATAAACTCAAAGGAATAAAAGAATAAATAAATTACCAAAGACAGATTTGACGGTCTCGGAAAGTAATGACCTCAGATGATTTCTATAATGAATATCTTTCTGCTGGCACCTAACTATTTGCGCCTGGTTTGCTTCCAGCATTTTTCCTTCTGAAATTAACCAAATTTTTTCAGTTTCACTTTAAAAATTAAAACTAACAAAGAGCAAAAATTTCATTAATAACTTTTTCAAATTTTCAGATGTTCAATTACATCTATGTGAAATGTAAGAAAACATATAATATTAATAACTTACACGTGCCACACACACACACACAAATACACACACTATAAAATTGGTTGATTTTAATATTGTTATTCAGTAAATATCTTACTAAGCATACATTTTTTATACATACATCACAAAATTACATAACATACATTTACATTTTACATACTGAATAATACTTAACAGTTTACTACTTCTTTGCTTAGTCATAAAATTTATTTTTGAAATCTCATTTTATATTTAAGTGTCAATATGGGGCCAAAAAATGGAACGAACCGGAATTGGAATGGTAATCTGAAAATTAAAGTACACACCGGCTACACAAAAACACAGTAATTAAAAACATATAAAAAAAACTACAGACACGTAAACAAACGTCTGAAAAAAGCAATGATTTATGACGTCAAAAAAGTGAAAAATTTATGACGTCAAAAAGTAAAAAGATTACTTGATATTGAGACAAAACTGATCCGATAAAGCCAGTAAAACCTCGATTTTCAAATTTAAAAGTGAATTTTTAAAAGTGGACTTTTCATACAAATT